AGTGCAATATGGCTTCCTGTACACAGTTGATGTACAGAACTCCCCCAGAAAAGTAATTTAATGTTTGACTCACTGATTTTTCTAGAAGTCTGCACTAAAGGGATGCAGTCCTTGCAGTTTTCCTCATTAAGGCCCTGCAAATGTATCAGCTGATCAAATCACTCCCATTAAGGCTGGCCATACATTATACAATTTTCTTGCTTTATATTTACCAAAAACCATATAATATGAGGTTAAACATGAACAACACTTTCAATTGAAACCAATTAGGCAGGCCCTTTCACTACATAGTTGAAGGTAAATCTAAAGGAAATTGGACAGAAAACTAGAAAATTGTTTAGTGTATGGCCAGCCTAATGCAGGCCATAGATGGGTCGAAAATTGGCTGATTTTTAGGCCGCAAAAAAAAATCGTCCGATTTTCGCACCGTTAATGGGTTAATGGGTTAATGGTCGGCTGTTTTTCTGGAATTTGGCAGATTTGTTTGATCGGTAAAGTTGGAAAAAAATTGGCCGATTGGCAATTTTCTTTTTACCGATAAATAATCTGCGCATGAGCCGTGACCTGCAAGAAGAAGAAGAGAAAGAAGAAGAAGAGAAAAAGAAGAAGAGAAAGAAGAATTCCAGTCCGCTATTATATTTGACATGAAAAAGTATTGCGGTTGCAACAATGTATCTATTTGTATCCGAAAAACATCTGTATCGGAAATGGATACAAATAGATACAATGTTGCAACCGCAATACTTTTTCATGTCAAATATAATAGCGGGTCTTTCTGCAGGGACAGAAGTAATTAAATGCCGGCTGCAGACGGGAAGAAAATCGGCCAATTTTTTTTTTACTGTTGGTGGTAACGTCGGCCTATTGAACGACCGATTTTTTGTTTTTTTTTTTAAAAAAAACCGGCTGGTTTTCTCCATGTCTATGGCCTGCATAAGGCTCCATTCATGTCAGCGCATCTCCAAAGTCACACAATTTCCAGTGCGACTTTGATGTGACTTGTGGTGTGACTTTGAACCGGCTTTGCATTCACTGGACAAAAGTTGTACCAAAGTAGTGCTGTAACTAGTCTCACAGATTTGAATGGTACTCATTGGGAAACATGGACTCCAAAGTCATATGGCAAGTTGCACAAGTGTGATTGGACTCTTAGAATCAGAATCCAAAAGACATGGACGAACACACTGCTTTTTTTCAGAGCAGAAACAGGACTCTGCTACAAAGTTACTCTTTAAAGTGGTAGTAAACCATGACCTTTAAAAAAAAAAAAAAAATGTCATAATGTGCTAGCATGCATCTCATATTAGCACATTATGTGCAACTTACCTTAAAATGAAGGCTTGCAGCGGCTGTCAACGCTGACATGGCTTTTATCTTCACCTGGTCCTCTTTCCGGCTTCGCAGGCTTCGGTGCCTTGAATGGCCGACATCACTCACTTCTTACAACACTCAGCTCTGAAGGAACGGCATAGGCTGTTCCTTCAGAACACATGCGCCGGTGTATTTTACAAGTAAATCTCTCCTAAACGGTGCACATTTAGGAGATATTTACAGTACCTGAAGGTAAGGCTTACATGTAGGTACAAATTAAAAAAATACAACTTTACTGCCACTTTAAGTGTTTTATGTTGACAGAAAGCTGAACTGAGATGCAACAGAGGATAAAAAACAGCGAAAGCAAGTATTTTGTTAAACGCCCCCCCAATAAAAAAAAAACAAAACATAAATTCTTTTTGATACACAGTGCTTAAGGAAATGTAATCAAATTCATGTAGGCTGTACATCCACCTTATGGGCTTGTTCACACTACTTTTAAGCAATCGTTTTCCCTGTACCAGCTTAGTGCTCTGTTGTGCTATTGGTCCAGGGGTTGGTGCCTTGCATTTTACAGTGCAGTGCATGGTTTACCCTTTTTTTCTTTTTTTTAACTTTATTGAAATGTCACAGAGCGACCTTTCATTAATTGTTATGAACTGCAGCTCAGCTGAAATACATAGAAGCAGCAGTAGAAACAGACACTTTGGCACAGCTCTAATCCATTGCTTAAAAATGCATACAGCATGTTTTTGTTTCATACTGCACTTCTCTAAACCTAAGGGCTCCATTCTAGTGTGAGCAAGGCACATCAAAAGCAATTGTTTTCTGTGTGCCCATGCAAAGACCTGTAGTTTTCTATTACAGAAAAACACAGGACTCCTTGAAGCATGCATGAAAACTGATGTAAACTGATTTTGCGTGTCAGTTTCCATCAGTTTTTCTGCACGTGTGGTGTGAACGAGACCTAAAAGCTGGAAGTGCCTATTCTATATTGAGTAACACGGCTGCTTGGGGTCTCTGGGACATGAAAGAAGGTTTATACCAGCTCAGTTATTCCTGATACCTTAAGTGACAGGTTTACATTTATAAAAAAATTGTTGCAAAGGACTGAGCAAAAAACATTTTTCTAGTTCACCTATAATAATATTTCACTGGACTTTGCAGATCTTGCTTATACAGAACAGAATTCCATGTCTGCAGTAGAGACATAGGTGACATTACACAATGTCTTGCATTCAGCCACGGACGTGCGCAGTATTACTTTGCGTATTTGACTGAAGCTCTGAGCAGCTGTACATGTGAAACATGTTCTCTCCCTTTGCTTTTATTTCTGGGTTGCAAATGGTCCCATAAACTGGACGTAGCTCAAAGACTTTTCTAAGATGTCAGGATGTAGACACTCATCACATGTTCATGTTATATATAGATATTATAGGGTCAGTCAGGGAACATCCTTTCAGCGTCCATCTGTTTACATTAGACGAGTCTGGAGCGTAACCCAAAGCCCAGAGATTGATCATTTATCAGTACTAATGTATGTGTATGATCAGTCACAGATCAGATGTGTTTACTGACCCCGTGGCCTGTGGGTTTAGGGGAATTTAGTCTGTTCTGTAAGTCTTCATAACTCTTGTCTATGTGACTCTTCCTTTTGTCCCTCTTCCTGTGTCTCCTGCTTTCTCACCTCTCATAATACTCCTTTTCTTTGACATTTGATCTCTGTCTCTCCTTCCTTGGCAAGCAAAGCAGCACTTGTCACTTTCACAGGGCCACAATTTTCATTTTGTCTAAGGGAGCATCTTAAAAAGTCTAATCAACCAAAAGGTATTTTACGTTACTGGTGGAGCCTGGTGAGCTGTGTCAGTCCTGGACATTCTATAAGTTTTGGATATTCCAACAGTACAATTTTCCCTGAGATAATTCTTTTCCCCCTGAGAATTTTGGGTATTCCAGCTCCTTCATTTCTCTGACTTTAACCCTAAGGACCCATACACACTACTGTGTTGCAATAAGGCCTCATGCACACAGGACATTTTGCCAACTCTACTCAAAGCCTTTCCTCTTGCTAGTGGCATTTTGTCAGAAAAATCTTTTTTCACTTGTAATAATATGTAACACGCTTAGGGGCGTCAAGCACTTGGGCATTCATTAATTTCAATGTCCAGAATAATAATGTATTTAATGACACTCAAGAGCTAAAGGCGCCTAGCGCTTAGGCGAGTTTACAGGCGGTAAGCGTTTTTGTTTTTCCCCAAAACACTGCTGCTCCTGGGCGCTCTGACATTATACTCATGTAAATACACATATGCATGCAAAATACTTAAGCTCCAGAAGGTTTTACTTCCTTCATGACCGGCCATTTTTTTGCTATTTAGCACTGTACTACTCCGAAATTGATCGGTCATGCAACACTGTACGCAAATGAAATTTATATATTTTTCTTCACACAAAGATTTATTTTGGTGGTATTTGATCACCACTGGGGTTTTTTTTTTTATTATATAAATTTAAAAAAAATTTTAATTTGGAAACCCCCCAATCATTTTTTACTTTGTTATAAAGCATAGCAAATTGAATTTCTTCATAGAGGCACATTGCAAGTTAATGATAATTTATGGAAAGGAAAAACACTGCAAGAAAGCAGCTAAACATTTGATTTTTCTGTGCTTTAACCTGCTATTTTTTAAGGTGACAGGCTCTATCATTTTAAAAGTCAGAAGGTCTGAAAAGTGTTATTTTAGTTATAGGAGAATCCTGGCAGGCTTCTTATGTCTTGGATTATTCATCAGTGAGTTCTTAGTGTCGCAATTCCTGTCCGCCTAGAGTTTTTGTGTTGCTCCAGGTCCTCTGCTCTTTTCTATAGCTGACATATAATTCTCAGTGTTTTACAGAGAACCATTCCTATCAATCCCTGCTTCTAGTTTCTTATAATCTGATATCCGGAACACAGACTGTTGACCAGTCTTATTGGAAGCCAAATAACTCCCATTATAGAGAGGAAGACACTAGCATAGTCAGGGGGAACCATTCTGAATAACAGGCCCACTGTAGTTGGGAGACAATATTTTCTCTCTTTGTCCATCTCCTTAATTTTACTCTCTGCTGTCTTACCCCCATACACTTGTCACTGCTCTCTTCCTCCTGGTCTCTGATGGATAGACCTTGGTGTCTACCCGTTACATTTAGTCCTCATGCACACTGGACATTTTTACAGCTGCTGTTTTTGTTTTTTGACGGGTTTTCTTTCTACAGCCAGTAAACCCCCCCAGCATGTTATCCTATGTGTCCATGCACACACAGACTGTAATCAATGTTTTTTGGCTGGAAAAAAAAACCCAGGACTAGTGAATTTCTAGAGGAGTTTTGTAGCTGTAAAAACTCTCTAATGCTGAAAAATGCAGCTAAACGCTGTAAATCACGGCATACAAACATTTTTGGACTTTTTTTTACCAAAAAATAAAAATTTTTTTGGTAAAAAAAAAAACCTCTAAAAAACGAAAACGCAGCTAAACGCTAATATAATACCGCTAAAAAACACTGAAAAACTCAAATTTTTAACGTGACTTTACACAGCTAATGTTACCAGCATTATTAAAACACCCCATGTGCATGGAGCCTTAACAAATATGCAACCACCTATCCGATCTGTATGGCTTTTCTCACGTTGTTTTCTGTTTTACTTCAGGGCCTGATTACTCTCAGATTTTATCCACTCTACATATTGCCTTGGCCCAGAAGAATGTGGAGCAGGTAGGTCGTTATCTGTCTGTAATTGATGTATTAAGTATAATTCAAACTAAAAAAAAAGTTTGGGTTGAAGGTCTATTCCATTTTATAGCAACCCCACATTCAGTCCAAGGACACTCTGGTGCCCCCCACAACCTCTTTGCATGAAGGTAAGAAAAACCTTCTGTGTGTAGCAGCTCTCCCAGCCCCCTCTCAAACTGAGCTGAGCCCCATCTTGATCCAGCAATGTGCACAAGAGCCTTGGCTCTCTCAGGTCTCCCTCTGCATTGGCTAAGAAACCAGTGGTAGCCATTGCCTCCTGCTACTGTCAGTCACAGCCAGTGAGGGGTTGGTCTAACCCATGCTTTGTGTGTGAATGAACAAACAGAGTAGCGATTCAGGAGTGAGCCTGCTTTGGTGCCCTCATATCAAACTGTTTGCTATGGGGGTACTAGGCAGGAGGGAATGGTCAGGAGCACCAGCGGGGAACTCAAAAGCGGAGGATTGGGGCTGCTCTGTGTAATACCACTCCACAAAGCAGGTAAGAATAATGTGTTTGTTATTTTTAAACAAAAAAAAACCCTTCCTTTAATATCACTTTAAGTTGGCCATAGTTGGATTGGAACTCAACCAAATTTTGATGCATTTCTGGCCGTTCCCTATAGTGAGAAGTGTTGTTTATTATGTGGGTTTTCTCAAATTTGACTCCAAAAGGAAAATAAACTTTAAGATGTAATAAGTGCGATTCATCCTGTGTACATTCACCCATAACTGAAACCTTAGTTTTCGGTAGAAAGAAACATTAAACTGCTGGGAATATGGGAATGGCTTTGTTTGACTTATTTGTAAAGGTACAAGGTCCAGGGCCCTTCATCTTTTCTTCCATACTGAATCAGGATAAATATGTGCTCATCAGGTGTCCTGACACTTCATGGGTAATATACTGTATGTTGGCCTCAGGTTAGTTATTCACCAAGAGAAATGGGTATAATGATAGCAGGCAGTGTTACAAAAAAAAAAGGAAGCATGAGATAAATGCCACATACATAAAAAATATAAAAACTACAACAGTCTGCACCTTCTAAAACAATTCAGTAATGTTGGTTTCCCATATTTATGCCCCAACGAGTTCCCTGTAGATTCTCCACGGCATGTTTAAAGAGTAATTCCAGCTAAACTGTTGTCATAACTACCTCCCTCTTGCTTGGCCATCAGCTTAAAGAGTAGCCATACCCACTGCAAGCCAGAATAAAACTTTGGAAACTTTGTAAAAAGATTGCCTTCAGGTAACTGCTCCAGCTAAATATACTTCAAGGTAATGCCATATATATTTGCTCTGAACTGTACTTTCATTTTGTTGTGTGTGTGTATATATGCTTCTAAGCAGTTTTTCTGCTCTGCCAGGTACGAAAAAATATGAAAGATTTCCTAGCTACTGTAGATGACCCGCAGACTGCTCTCCTGGACTTGTTGGAAAGTTGTAGCACTTCAAAGGGAAAAGGGAATTCACTGTCTAATTTACTTGCTGACGAAACTCAGAAATGGTTGCTGGAACATCCCGAATGCCAGCTGGTGAGAACTACCAACCTGTCAAAAAAAAAATCATTAATGCAATTCATTTCTGTATAGAGCTACATGAATGCGGTTATCACATAATGGTCCTGTACTCTCTTCTTAGTCCGGGTTGAGGTTGAGAAAGGTTCAGGCCCGTGTTTTCCTCCTGGTTACTGAAGGGCAGCTGCTAGATTACCTCATTTCCATTTATCGCCTGCAAGAAGCTGAGCGTTCTTTTCTGCTGGATCCTGTCAAACGCTTTCACCTACTGGGCAACTATAAAGAGGTAAGAGTCTAAAAATGCCCTACTGGGCTTGTCTGTTGCAAACCGTTTTCTCTGCGTTTTGTGTATGCCATACCTAATAATGGTGGTTGGAAAGTGGGCCTTACAATTAAATTGAAACAAAAAAAACCCTCTGGGGAAGGGGGTGGTATTGGTGTTTTCATTGTTATATTGTAAAGCGCTGAGCAAACTGTTGGTGCTAAATAAATCCTGTATAATAATAATTAATTTTAGGTGAGAGTGACAGCACCATCCTTTGGTGATGCACTATATTGCCAAAAGTATTGGGCCAGCCCTCCAAATCATTAGATTCAGATGTTCCAATCGCCTCCATGGCCACAGGTGTAGAAAATCAAGCACCTAGGCATGCAGACTGCTTCTACAAACATTTGTGAAAGAATGGGTCGTTCTCAGGAGCTCAGTGAATTCAAGCATGGTACCGTGATAGGTTGTCACTTGTGCAATAAGTCCATCCGTGAAATTTCCTTGCTACTAAATATTCCATGGTCAACTGTTGGTAGTATTATAAGAAAGTGGAAGCAACTGGGAACAACAGCAATTCAGCCACGAAGTGGTGGGCCAGGTAAAATGACAGGGGAGGGTCAGGGCATTCTGAAGTGCACAGTACGCAGAGGTCGTCAATTGTCTGCAGAGTCAATAGCTAAACACCTCCAAACTTCAGATTAGCACAACAACAGTGCATAGAGAGTTTCATGGAATGAGTTTCCATGACTGAGCAGCTGCATCCAAGCCTTACATCACCAAGTGCAATGCAAAGCGTCGGATGCAGTGGTGTAAAGCACGCCGCCACTGGACTCTACAGCAGTGGAGACTCATTCTCTGGAGTGACACATCATACTTCTCTGTCTGGCAATCCGATGGACACGTCTAGGTTTGGCGGTTGCCAGGAGAACGGTACTTTTCTGACTATGCCAAGCGTAAATTTTGGTGGAGGAGGTATTATGGTGTGGGGATGTTTTTCAGGGGTTGGGCTTAGCCCCTTAGTTCCAGTGAAGGGAACTCTTAAGGCATCAGCATACCAAGACATTTTGGACAATTTCATGCTCCCAACTTTGTGGGAACACTTTAGGGATGGCCTTTTCATGTTCCAACATGACTGCGCACCAGTGTACAAAGCAAGGTCCATTAAGACATGAATGAGCTTGGGGTGGAGGAAATTGACTGGCATGCACACGTCCTAACCTCGACCTGATAGGGATGAATTATAGCAGAGACTGTGAGCAAAACCTTCTCATCTGACATTAGTGCCTGACCTCACAAATGCGCTTTTGGTCAAACATTTATTTATTTATTTCAGGTAGCGCCGTCAATTTACGCAGCGCTTTACATATATATATATATATATATATATAGGGCCCTCAATTCCCTCATGTTTTGCATGGTATTGGTATTGTTCTGTCACATGTTCTGTCCCCCTTTGTAATGTACAGCGCTGAGCGAACTATTGGCGCTTTATAAATACTGTATAATAATAATTATAATAATATATATATTGTACATTCATATCAGTCCCTAACCCTCAAGGGGTGTACAATATAAGCTCCATAACTTACATTCACTTACTAGGGTCAATTTACACAGGAACCATTTCACCTACTAGCATGTCTTTTGGAGTGTAGGAGGAAACCGGAGTACCCGGAGGAAACCCACGCAGGCACAGGGAGAACATGCAAACTCCAGCCAGGTGGTGCCGTGGCATGGATTTAAACCAACGACCCTAGTACTGCCAGTACAGTCCCGTAGACACACTCCTAAACCTTGTGGACAGCCTTCCCAGAAGAGTTGAAGCTGTTATAGCTGCAAAGGGTGGGCCAACTCAGTATTGAACCCTGCAGACGAAGACTGGGATGCTATTAAAGTTCATGTGCGTGTAAAAGCAGGAGTCCCAATACTTTTGGCAATATAATGTATCTAATGCAGTGACCCAAATCTCAAGAGACGATGCTACCGCACTGTGCCATCTTGCAGAATTTGGGCTACTCTGAATTCCTGAGATTCTTCTAGCAAGGATGTTAAAGTGGAACCGTAGTCAACAAATGATGCTGTAGATCGCTTAAGGCAGGCCCCTTTTGCAGATATAGCTATGTAAAACATTCAAAATAAGTGATAGGCACTGTTTAACCTCTTCACGACGGGCGCACACAAATGTGTGGCCTCCCGGCATCTGGGCCTAGACACCAAGTGGCCGCACATTTGCGTGCAATTAAGAAAAAACATATGTGCTGAGAGCGCGCACCCAGCACACATGTCTGGTACTCACGGAAAGGTCCCGGTCTGCTCTTTCGATCAGGACCTTTCCCAATCATGTGACCGCCGTGATGACGCGTCATCACGGCGGTCACATGATCCCTAAACAACGCCCCGCCGTCCTGCCTCCCGGCTTCTGAAACTCTTAAAGAGCCGGGAGGCGCCAGCGGGAAGGGGTTAAAATCCAGTATACAATACGCGGTCTTACCCTGCTCTGCACATGCTCTGTTGCTCCCTATTTTTCGGTACTGTGCTAGAGGTTGATCTGCTGACAGCCTAAAGATTTACTACTGCTTAGGGGCTTTGGGCTTCAGCAAATTGGTAGTCGCCAGCAAGAAGAAACAGGAAAAATGCTGGAGCCAATTTACAGAAACACACCCATTTTGGTAGCATATTTATTAATGTGGGATGTGTGTTCCTTGCTAAAGAACATTTTTTTTTCTTCATCAAGTTGTTATGGGTAAAATTCTGCTTTAAGATTACCCTCTGCAATACGGAAGCTGGGGGTAAGGTAAAGATAATAAAGGTAGACATAGCTACCTTTTTTGCCCCCCCCCCCCAGGGGTTTCTCTTCTTTTCTGAGAAGCAATCCAGACAAATAAGCAGACCTGACTTAGACTGCAAGGTCGGTTTTTTAAAGTGTATGTGATGCCAAAACTTTTTTTGTTGTGTTCACCAGATCAGTGTTTAGTATGCAGTGGTTTTCACCTTCAATCTCATGATTTTTCTACTTGCAATGATAAAAGATAGATGATGTGGGAGCCAAGGGAGGGAGCAATTACCCAAAAGACAGTATGTCTGACACTCCAGGAAGTGTTGGTTCTTTGCAAATGTATTTGAGCTGTGCTGATGGTTGAAGATATTGCAGAAAGAGTGCAACTGTTATTATTAGTAGTAGTAGTTATTTTATAGACTGTCCACGTTTCTTTCTTTTAGACATTCAAAAAGTGGTGACATAGAAACATATCTATGGAAAATTATGCCACCAGAACAAAAGTTTGTCCTAAAGAATCAATTTACTTATCACTTTTGTTATCCTAAGTTACGACACAATTTATAAGCTGAATTGTAACTCTGTCACTCCTGTCTTTAAAGGGTAAACAGATGCTAGTCTTTGGTTAAAAACATAAAAATGTGGTCAATTTAATGTTTTGTTTTTAATATGTACTGCTCATCGCCTTTTTACAGGGGTCCACTAAAAGGGCCACCTGGGAACACAAAATGGAATTTGGAATGGATGATAGTGCAGCCTGCATACTGCAGTTTATTTCAACTTACTGTAAGCAATGATATGGCCAGGTACACGTTTTTTTAGCCTAATTTGCAGAAACTTCCACCATATGGGCAGCACAGTGGCTAAATGGTTAGCACTTCCGCCTGGCAGTACTAGAGTCGTTGGTTCGAATCCCAACCACGGCACCATCTGCCTGGAGTTTACATGTTCTCCCTGTGCCTGCGTGGGTTTCCTCCGGGTACTCCGGTTTCCTCCCGGGCTCCAAAAACATGCTGGTAGGTTAATGGATCCTGTCTAAATCGGCCCTGGTATGTGTATGTATGAATCTGTGTTAGGGACCTTAGATTGTACGCCCCTTGAGGGTTTGGGACTGTACTGTATGTAAATGTACAATATATGTATGTGTGTATATATATATATATATATATATATATATATATATATATATATATATATATATATATATCTGTGTGTGTGTGTGTAAAGCGCTGTGTAAATTGATGGCGCTATATAAGTACCTGAAATAAATAAATAAATATCCCCTGAAATGGCTCTTTGGATATTCAAGATGGCTTCAGTGATGCCCATGTCCTCTTTTCCCCTGGCTTCTCCTTTCTTGTGATTATTAGCAGACAATGGTGGAATTCAGAGCACAGCAGAGGCTCATGTAGTGTGCAGCTATTCTCTGAAGACCCCCTGAATGGAGCAGGCGGTGCCTGAGAATAATAAGGGGTAGGCAGAAGGCTGGCTAGTGTTTCATGGCTGTCTCATGTTACACTTTAGCCTTTTGAAAGAGTGACTGTGGCAGGCTGAATGAGACTTTGCTGCACTCCAAAAGGCAGAGAGGAGAGGACAAAGGTGCCTCTTGTCACAGGCAGGCCCCTCCTGCTGAGAACAGCCATTGTCACACAAACAGAGGCCCAGTCTGGCAGTCCGTGCATGCTTCACTGCTTTCTGATAGTGCAGCAAATGCATTCAGCCTCTTGTCAGCTTGGATTAGCAAAGGGTCCTGAGAAAGAATGGCCTGTGATGTATTTAAGGTCTCCGGGTGGCCTCTGTCTGTGCAGACTAAGCATGGTATACTGTGGTGTGTATATAGGGCCTGTGCTACCTGTGGATGTCCCTTGAGTAAATCACCATATCTGGGTGTCACTTCTAGAACTATGGGACAAAATTCTGCTTGGTCTAAAGAATGAAAGGGAATCTGTCACGGAGCTAAATACCTGTATCAGAAACGTCAGATGGTGACTGCTGTTTTCTGACTTCTTCATAATGTTGTATATCTATTGATAACTTGGTTTTCATCATAGGAAATCCTGTGACACTGATACTCTGTGTAAAGCTTTCCACACCGAAAACTAGTGAAAATAAACTTTGCACAAATGTTCCTTACTCCTGCACCCTCCCTCTCACCCCTTTTCTGAGTGCCTTACTATGTTTATCAAATTATGTAAGCATATATCATTATCCCTAAAAAATGTATAGTGCTTTTATATGTATTTTTTTTAGTCGGTCCAAAAAAATAAAAATTTAAAAGGCGTTCTAGGCTTTTTTTTTCTTTTTCCAGGCTATACTTAACTGCTTTGCTGAAAGAACCTATGTACAAAGCTTCATAGCTCAAACTGAAATATGCGCACACAAGAAAAAAAAATCAGTACACTCTGTGTAAAATTTTATATGTACAGGACAGAAATAAAATACAAAACATAAAGGTGTAAACTTTTAAAGAATTATTTACAAAAACAACTGTTCCTGAACTATTGTAGCTTCCCCTTAAATATCTTTCATCAGATACCAAGGCATTACCCACCCAACAGATACTTACCCACCTAGCGGATCCAACATTGTCCCTCCGAGATCCTCTTGTCTTCTGCCACCACCTAGTCCCATTCCGTCATTTTGTTTATGACATCTTCAAGAGGCTCGCTGGTTTTTCAGGGTTCAGCAGCCAACGCACCCCCCCCCCCAATGATGACACGTTGCTGGGCACGCCCCCTCCTCCATTAAGAATGGGCAGCACAGTGGCTAAATGGTTAGCACTTCTGCCTGGCAGTACTAGGGTCATTAGTTCAAGTCCCAGCCACGGCACCACCTGCCTGGAGTTTGCATGTTCTCCCTGTGCCTGCGTGGGTACTCTGGTTTCCTCCCACACTCCAAAGACATGCTGGTAGGTTAATTGGATCCTGTCTAAATTGGCCCTAGTATGTGTATGTATGAATGTGAGTTAGGGACCTTTGATTGTACGCCCCTTGAGGGTTAGGGACTGATGCGAATGTACAATATGTGTTTGTGTAAAGCGCTGCATAAATTGATGGCGCTATATAAGTACCTGTAATAAATAAAAAAAATAAGTGGCTATGCTTTATGGGATATGTGACATACATATTCCAGGAGGCATAGCAAGCACTATGCCGTTTGCCTTGGCATATGACTTGCATGGAGGGGGCAGGGCTTTTTTTTTTTTTTTTTTGTAATAGAAGAAGAAAAAAGGTTAAAGCAAAAAGAGATGGCGCTAATTGTGGAGAGAAGGGAAGTATTTGCAGAGGGTGAAGATCTTCTTTAAGTGGCATAAGAGAATAGCATTCAGCCAGCTTAAAGCCGGCTATAGATGGTTCGAATTTCAGCCGGTTCAGCAAGAACCGGCTGAATTTCAGTTTATGGCGGCTCCCGCTTAATAGAAGTCAGTCTAGCAAAACAAATTTTAATTCAATCAGGCGCAGCAGCTTCCCCGTTAGAATACATTAGCACAGCAGAGAGTATTCTTCCATCCACTTCGCTTGTGTTGATGGGGGAACCCATTTATTGTGGGTAGAACAGCCCTCTGGCCAATCAGGAAAAAAAAGCAGTCCATCTATATCCAGCTTAAGCCATTAGAGTAGAAGTTTACTTGGGCTTGATGTAAATGATTTTGTTTACTGTGCTGTGGAAATATATTTGTAGTATAAAAAAAATGGTATTGTTATAAATATATAATATTTTTTCACTTTCTTTGAAGGCAGCCATTTTAAGTACCAAACTGAACCTACAGCCAGATCTGGACCTGGAACAGGTAAGTGGATAGCATGAGATAACATGCTATTCTAAGTATGGCCCATGTAATATCTGGAATTGTAATTGCATGTCTTAAAGCCCCACTCTAGCCAAAACTTTTGTTGTTGTCTTGAATAATATGAATGGTTAGAACTTCTGCCATTCTTTTGTTGCTGTCTGTAAAGATATTGTTGAGTTTTTCCAAGCTTTTAATCTTTGTAAAACCAGGACAAGGATTGAGAAGTATGGATGTCATCAGGACAAGAAATGATAGACAGCTACTACATAGAAGTTTTTGTTGCTCTCTGCCCATTGCATAGATTGCTATTCTGTTTCTGTGACACCATGTCTCCGGGACAGGTAGCATGAAAATATTTAAAAAGGGGCAGACAAAAACAATCAGAGGTTCTGTCTCTTTCCTGCTCTGTTCAAAACCACAATATAAATGTGACTGTAGTTGGGATTTCAGGTGCCCATAGGTATAAGGTGATTTTGCCTGATCTTTCTGGTTATGGTTGATTTGGGAAATGATAGGTCTGTGTGTACATTATAACATCTGCACAAAACTCAGTCCTGACAATTTTTGGTATAGATTAGTTAGATTTACTTTTCTACCCTTATGTCCAGTGCTGAGGATATCTTCTCATTTCCTCTGTGGAAAGGTTTTGCACAAGAAATGCATTGGCAGACAGGTCATACTCCACATTCCTCCTTGGCCAGTTGTCCGTTGCTAGCTGTAAGATGACAGAAATGGACAGATATTTGATTGAGAAGAGAGTAGAAGAGACTCTTACCCACCTTAGTACCTAGCTCTTGAACCCACAGGAGAAAAGGGTAGCGCCGTGTAAGTGCAGAGGATTAAAACATTGAATGCAGCCACAGTAATAAAAACTTACAAAAATTGAAGAAAAGACACACTCATAATGAGTAAATAGAAGTCTCTGTTTCCCAGTCCTGTGGAGTCCACCTGGAGTGATTGAGCTGCTGGGAGTGGTGTGCACAAAGCTAGAGACACTGATGGGGATCCTGGAAGTGTCTCAAACCAGCTTGGAGCACACACACCAAGGGCAGATGTGATGTCACTGACAGGAGAGAAGTTACAGGCAGACTCCACAGGACAGGGAAACAGAGGCTTTTGTTTACTCATTATGACCATGTGTGACGATCGCGGCGTCAGACCCCAGACCTTCTCACCCAAACTCGTGACCGAAGGACTAGCCGATCTAAAAAACCGCGATGTGACGTGCGTAACAATGCCACACCCAGCTGCACCCTGCACAACGATTTTCCACCTAACGGACCACAATTGATGTACCGGCAGCCTGGGCGATTGTTACTGGGTTAGGTTAATTACGCATATAACCCTTCACACTGCCACCACCTCCTTTTTGTACAGAGAAAGAGGAAACTTGGCGTTATCAGCTATAACACTATAATGATTGAGATAATCGTCTGTATAAAACGGTCCGCAGGCCGGTTATACAGAGGTTTAAACAAACACAGCATTCTCTTTAGAGGCAGGGATTCGTAAATTGCAATACAGAGCTATAGAAACCATTCAACACTTTCAGAAAGAAAGACTTATTACTAAAAGGTCAAACGGGTGCAATAAAAATATTTACAGAAAAAAGATGTAACTAAGATATAAATATACAGAGAACAACAGCACAGCAAAGAGATATCAGAGAGAGGTGAAAGTACTTGCCAAAGTCCTGGGTTAGCAGATCCAAGTTTCAGAGCAGAAGGGTGCTTTGATCTCCCTATGTTACGATGGTCAATGGGAGAATTCTTCAGCTTACCTTATCTTAGGCCTGACAGCCAGTTTTGTAGTCCCCAGCAGAGGGTGGCTCTGCAGTCAAGGACCAATCTCCGCATAGGGAGGGGAGAGATGGGTGGATGCTTCAACTAGAGCAAAAATCTCCCATAACTCATATTTGGCCTATAACTTTTCCTATGCACAAGTGACATCCCCACCCACGGGTAGATTATTATGCAGACAAGTCTGAGGATTGATTAGACATGAATTATAAGAGTGTATGCTAAATGGTTTGCGAGATCTATTTTTCTGCTTTCCTGTGCGTCCGAGACAAGGCGAGTGACCCATCAAACTGTTCGCCTGCTCATCGTCCATCTGACGATATGTTCGGTTTTTATGTAAATCTCTCATATTCCAAGATATGAGACATAGGGGAAAAATGGGTTTAACCAAGGTTATCTGATTCTGTCACCTAAGCTGAGTTAAGTTTTATGAGGTTGGAATCTCTCTCAACTCCAGAGAAAGCTTGCCTTATCTCTTCCGAGTTGTGAAATGGTACAGCTTCTTGGGACATTGAGGTACCTCCTGGCTCCCTGCTGGGATCTGGCCTGTGAAACTTCTAACACACACATATACTGCCATATGTCACTGGGCCTCTCACAGAGGGCGGGGGGGGGGGGGTTGGTTTTGGGGTGGAGAATAAGGGAGTAATATATTTGTCAGGACAGTTAACCCCTTTGCCAAGATGGAGTTTGAAACCAAAATGGTTGAACCGCGTCCATCTCTTGGTATTACGCTGTTACACCATGTATTTTCAATACTTGTAAGTTTTTATTACCGTTGCTGTATTAACTATTTTAACCCTCTGCACTTATATGGTGCTTCCTTTTTCTCCTGTGCGTTCTCATGACAGAGTTGGCTTACTTCTGGGACAGCTTCCACTGATTCAGAGTTCTATTTAGATACCATTGGATTCCACATGGACTATAGACTCTTCTTGGACTCTGAACTTTTCCCTTTGTGCCATTACTACTGTCACTCTAGCTCTAGAACCCAAGCCTCTGGAACAATTTTTTTTTTTACTCAGCCGTCCTAATTTAAGGTGTACTGGTGCTCTTTGTTCTCCCAAGATTTGTGCTTGCACATATGTTTTCCATCAAGTACACTAAATACACAAAAATGTGCACAGATGTGTATCAACCCATGGTTTCCCCTACAATTGAAAAGAGAAGCTATGAGTAATTTCCTCTTTATATACGTTTGGCCTGAAATATTCCAATAAACAACAAAAACACAGCCTGCGTGCACAGGACCAAAACACATATTAATTTAGAAGGCAACTATAAAGAGTGGTGGGTTAGAGTGATTTCTGTTCACTTCCTGTCATGTCATCAAGATAGGAAGTGAGGGGCACTCTCCCCAGTGGGAAGTCGACTTCTAATTCTTCTTGTTTAATGTATAGCTGGGGTGTGCCCTGTAATGGTCATTGGTCTGTTTCCTCTACAGATGTGTATCCCCTTGCTGCTATTGGAGAGGTTTAATCTTGTGGAGGCCTATGTTGCTGGGTACCCAGAGCTGCAAACTAAACTGCTGCAGATGTTAGACCGATGGAGCTTATCCAAATTTAACCCCAGGAAACTTAGCAGGTAGGCACTATTTTAATTTTTTTTTTTTTTTTTTTTTTTTAGAGTAGAGTAAGCAGATGCTTGTTTTTTAGCGCCTTGCATTCTATAGACTTTATGCTATTGCCCCTCCACCCTTTTTACTTCCAACACAAGGCTTCCAAAGCCAAGATCTAACCTGAATATCATAGTTGCCCAAAGCAATTTCCACCCCTATCAGCACTTATTGTACCTCTAAATGTAACCCCTGAAATAAGCCCATTAATACAGTATTAAATCTTTTTTTTTTTTTTTTTTTTTTTTAAACTAAAGCTGCTTTCACACTGGTTCGCCTCAAAAATGCTTGAAAAATGACTAGCATTTTTGGAGTGTTTTTGAGGTGTTTTTGAAGCGTTTTTCAAGCGGAACATCCTGGATATGTGACTTACTTTTGTAGCTCAAATTGGGCAGATTTGCACGTTTGAATTCACTAAAAAAAAGCTACTAAAATGCCGCATGAGCTATATATTTATTATTTATTTCAGGTACTTTATATAGCGCCGTCAATTTACGCAGCGCTTTACACATATATATATTGAACATTCACATCAGTCCCTAACAATCAAGGGGTGTACAATCTAAGGTCCCTAACTTACATTCATACATACACATACTATGGACAATTTATACAGGATCCAATTAACCTACCAGCATGTCTTTGGAGTGTGGGAGGAAACCGGAGTACCCGGAGGAAACCCACACAGGCACAGGGAGAACATGCAAACTCCAGGCAGGTGGTGCCGTGGTTGGGATTCAAACCGGTGACCCTAGTACTGCCAGGCAGAAGTTCTAACCACTAAGCCACTGTGCCGCCCCACTATTTTATCAAGTCATGCGGTATTTTAGTAGTAAAAAACATGCGTTAATGTTTCAGCTGTCAGCGGGGTTCCCCACTGACAATTGACTGTAAAAGAAAGAATTGCATGCAATTAAAAAATAATAAAAAAAAAAATCCATACTAAGCCCTTTGGGTCTGGTATGGTTTTTGAGGGGAACCCCCACGCCAATAAAAAAAAAATGGCATGGGGTCCCCCCCAAAATCCATACCAATCCCTTATCCGAGCATGCAGCCTGGCAGGTCAAGAAAGGGGGGGGGCGAGCGAGCGCCCCCCCCCCCCTCCTGAACCATACCAGGGCACATGCCCTCAACAAGGGAGCTCCCAGATCCCGCACCCCCCCCCTCTATGTGAATGAGTATGGGATACATGGTGCCGCTACCCATTCACAAAAAAACTGTAGTGTGAAAAAAGACAGGGGACAGTCTTTGATTTTAATGTCCATAGTCTGGGCATAGCTCCCTCAATACGTAACCTTTAATAAGTCTTCTAAATTTATCCTATCTAACCCTGGCCATTAACCTAACCCATAAAGTGAATTCTTGAAGGGAATGTATAGTGGTTTGTACATATTTTAAACAATGTTTGTCCTCTTTTGACAAATAAATATGCAATACTGCATGTAAATAGTATGTATTCTTATAAGCAGCTCCTGCTTTTAAGCCTACCTCCTGGACTAAAATGTCTGTAGTTTACAGAGCTCAATAAATTAAGCAGGAGGAATTTACACACACAAGTGTGAAGTGTGAAGTCAGAGCAGTGACTCACCCCCCCCCCCCCCTTTACAGCTCCATCTAAGGTTTACAAAACATTTGTTTAAAAAAAAATTACACTTGAATTCAAATGTTCAGAAAATTTTGTGAAAACACATACTTTCTCTTAACTTAGATCTAATCCGGCCTCTTGGAGTCTTTTTAGGTCTACAGCTTTCCTTAAAATAACTCTAATGAGAGAAGTAGAATGAAGTAGAAGTAGTGTGAGAGGGGCCGCCATTGCAGACCTTCTTCTGAAAATGCTAAATGCCTGGCTGTGTAACTTCAAGTGGAACTTTACTCACCTTCAGTTCAGCAATGTTGCATCCAGAGCTCGCTGCCGGTCGCTGACACATTTGGGTGGCTAGCTTCTGGGATTTGATCACTGGCGGCTTTTATTGGCCAGGCCAAGATGACCTCACTCCTGCGCATGAGTCAGCTCAGCATTGCTGACTTTGTACAAATTGCTGTGAATGCACAGCTTATTGTACAGGGGTAGACAGACAGATAAATAACTTTAATGCACAAAAAATGTGTCTTTTCTGCATTAAAAATCTTGCTGTTCACCCATTTAGATTTTTTGCCATAAAGTTTCTCTTTTAAGTATGCTTTAGCCACAGCCCAGGAACAGGCATGCTGTACATTTTTATCAGAAACGTTTCAGAACTGCTTATCTTTGTACTTGTTCCTGGTCGGTGACATCAGTGTCACACAGGAATTTAGCATTCTCAAATTTTAGTTCAGTTTTTGCAATCTCCATTCATCTCTATGAATCTCTTTAAAATAGTACTTTGTAGAGGTTCTTGTTCAGGCATTTTCTATTATGGGGTAACAACCTTCTCCCATTTTTGCTGCTGTGTTTTCACCCTTTCATATGCTCCCCTGGTGGAGCCTTTAAGCTGTCATGCTAACCCACATTGTGCAGGACTGGTCCACTGTTGTCACTGTCAGAATGCCGGACCAGGGCAGTGATTTGCGGTCAATACTGAAGCAAGTGCATGTTGAAAGGAAGTGGCTGAACAAGGCTGAAGGGATTCAGTAGCTCTGCATTGCAACAAAGGAAAGATGTGATAATGCATTTACCCGAACTGTATGTATTATAAAGGTGATACTCTTTTATAATCCCCTTGCAGAGAATTCAAGGGTCTTCCACTTGCGAAAACAGACAAACTTAACCCCAAGACTATCACTAAGTTGGCGTTCCGGCTGCTTGACCTCTACAAACTGGATCCTGGTGAGTGGTGGTGTCCTGGTGAAAATTGCCATAAGTAAACCACTCCTTATTTCTATGCACATTACTGTCCTTTGATCTTCAAGAAGGCAGAAAGCAGTATGAAAAACATAGGAACCATAGCAGACAATCAGAATGATCTTTTACCAATGTAAAATTAGTGGGTGTTATGAGCATCAATATTTTCTGTAGTAGGCTAGTGTGCATCTTGTTTCATCTCACATAAATACATTACTGGTATGTTTGAAATGTGCCTGTCCTAATTGTAGAAAATGCTGCTACATGGCTTTCCAGTGCTGCTTACCTAGCCTAAAACCTATGTGCTTGGTCACATGATCATTGATGATGGCTGATCCTTTCCTCCAGCAGCAACCATGTGATCAAAAACCCAGGTTTTTGTTTTGTGCAACAGGCACTGTCGAGAGCACGGAGCACCAGTTTGCCCTGTAAAGTTATTTCAGCTCCTTAGTTACTTTGCATTTATCATCATAGCAAAACTTTATTATAGCTGGTCCAGGTCTGATTGCCAGCACTTTTGTCCCCAAAACGTGCTTCTTTATACTGGCTGTAGCTCCACCCTTTATGAAGCCAAAATTATGGGCATTCCTTTGGAGGGAGATTCAACATGCACAGAGCCCCACCCTCTCTTTAAGCTGAGCTGTCTGTCACTATTATAAATAGACAATAATCACTGCTTGTTCATTCATAACAGTGATGAATCACTAATTTCTACGGCTCTGTGTGTCTACCAATAGCTGCTTTTACATGTAAACAAGTCCAATTGATGGATCATGCAGCGCTGTTTGGGCATTCACGTTTTGAATGAAAGATTAGCGATGTTGAGACCGATGCAGTGTATAATCTCAACAGTGTGGTCTGTTTATTCAGAACACTTAAAGTGGAACTACACTGTATCTGAGCAGCACAAATTAAAAGCGCTATTTATTTTTTTTTAATACTCAAAGCAAACTCGCCCATCCATGTCTCCATGCTTTATTTTTCTGAGAAATCACCTAGAAAAAAATCCCCTTGCATTTCTGGCTGTGGCCATCTTGAGCAAAGGTTGGTGATTTATGTAACAATGTCTCCCTGGAATCCATCTGCCCTTAGCTCAGACATACAGGCAGGAGGGTGTGCTTAGCTGAGTAAACCCCTCCTCCCCTCCTGAAGACTCCTTGGATGTATGACATCATTTTTCTAGGCATGGAAACTGGGAAGTAACTAAGGAAATGTAAAAAAAACTGAGTAAATATGATATACTTTCCTATCTATTTTCTAATGCTGACATTTCAAAATAGTCAATATTGATTGAGAGAGAGAAGTTCCACCTTAAAGATCACACAGCACTGAGGTATTGTGTAATCCATTGGTTGGGCTGTGTATTTGTAAAAGCAGCCACTGATTGATACACAACACCGCAGGCTATGTGATTTTTTTTTTTTTTTTTCTATTAATAAGTATGGCAGTACTGGTCTCCAAAGTGGCCCCTGCTGCCAGAGAGAAGAGCTGTCAATCACAAATCTGCCTCCTTTCTAGCAGAGTTGAAAGGGGGTGGGGATGGTGTGGGTACTCGTCTGACCATGCTGCTTAGAAACGAAAGCCTGGTGCACCTGATAAGAATATCGGACAAATGATCGTCCGATTTTTTTTTTTTTTTTTTTTTTTTTTTTTTTTTTTTTTTTTTATGCTAGTCTCAAATAATGAAAATCAAAAGTATTTGACAGAATACATCTTCAGAAGTGGTGTGATGTATTGTGTTGTAATGTATTCTTTCCTTTCCAAGTATGCATGATCTTGGTCACGGTCTTGATCGCGAAAATTTTAGTGCTTGTCTCTTCAGATAATTTCACATGATCGGCTCTAGAAAGCTGTGTACTAACGGTCAGCTTAGTGGACGATTGCTCCGAAATTCATAATTTTCATCCGATTTTCTCATTCTGTTTACTATGCTTAAAGCTGCCCCTTTGATGAAGAAAAATGCATGATTTTGATCTATCAGACTGCTGCAGCCAATCGTCTGAAGCCACTGATCAGTTTTTTCTGACAGTGGATGAGCCCCCACTATCAGAATACAATGGCACAGTGAGGACGATTCCTCCATCCACCTTGTTTGTGTCGGTAGGGGAATCTATTTTTTTTTTTATCAATACTGATCGAAAATAAATGAGCCATCTATGGCTGGCCTGAAGGACAGATTTGAACAAGGCCAAGTGCTATATGGATTTAAACAACATGAAACATTTTTCCTACTTTACTACATACATCAACCATACATGTAACGTTATATCCAAAGCTGATGTAAGTGCTCATTGTATATATGGGAAGAAGTTATAATGCGACATTTATGTTGCAGGTTGTCAAATGGTAAATTCTTGTGTGTATTTTTGTGTTTTCATTGCATGCTTCACATCACAGTTTCATAAATATTAACAAAGTTATTACATAGCTATACTTTCCCATATGTGTCACTTCTGTGACTACCACTATGCATGCCATAATCCCATTACACAGCTGTGGTATCTGACATGCTGGTAACTTATCCATGGTTCCCTGTAAACTTCTCAGTGCACACCTGGTGCTCTGGACATTACCTGTATAGACAGCACTGCGCGTCTTCACCTGTGCTCACCTGTAGCTTCACCTTGATTATATATGCATCGAGCGTGAAAGTGACAGCTCCTCTTCTCTCTAAAGCAAGCCATAGATTCTAACATGTTCTTTCCTTCCACCACAGATGGAAGGTAAGAAAATTGTTAAATTCTCCAATTAACACAATCAGTGTTGATGGGGGAATCCCTCCCGCAGCACTATTGTGTTCTGCCAGCAGGGAGCCTTCCCCACTGGCAAAATACAATTACTGCTAGCGACTATAGCCGCCAGCAATGATCGCGTGAATAAATAACCCAACAGGTAGGTTGTACTGAAGTTGTTCGCTGGATCGACTTCAGTACTAACAGAATGCCCATAGATGGATCAAATCTCGGCCGGTTCCTGCTTAACAGGCCAAGATTTGATCCATCTATGGCCAGATTTAGGCAACCTTGGCTAGTGTACTGTGCTTTTTCAGTGTCTCTTAAGCGTAAAACTGCATGTCAAAATTATCATTAAAACCAGAGATATAGAAAGCAGAATAATATGCACATCTCAACTATTCCAGTAAAAGCCAAGTTTGATCTCACCCCTCATACGTCCTTATTGGTCAGTGAGGCATACAGGATTATTATTATACAGGATTTATATAGCGCCAACAGTTTGCTCAGCACTTTACAATATAACGGGAGACAATACAGCAACAATACAGTTCAATACAAGAGGGTTAGGAGGGCCCTGCTCCTTGGAGCTTACAATCTAAGAGGGATGTACGGGCAAGCAGATATACTGACAATGAATTTCAGCACCTCTCCACAGAGCCGTGGTAGTTCATTGACAACGTTTAGGCTGTCAGGACTTGCAGTTTCTCATTCACAGAATACCTTGAATAAGTGACACAGCTAGGCGGGCGGAGCCAGGCGTTTTTTTTAAACATTTGACAGCTAACCTGGGGGGAAAAGATTCCTGCTAGCTGTCACAGCAGGGGGGAGCGGGCGGGGGCTGGTCTGATCATATCATGTTACACCCTGAATATGGGTTTAACATGTTTTGAAAGGTGAACTTATCCTTTAATTTAATGATAAATAAACATATAATTGGGGATTGGAGGGGAGTGAAACTTTTATTATAGCTTTGTGGAAAGGGCAGAGCTGGGAAATTGCGCCTCTGACATATATAATGGGAAGCAGATGATTTGATCCACAGATCCCTACCCTGAATTTAAATACCCACGGTAAGGCTGGCATTTATCCATATATGGTGCAGGCAGCCATATTGTCGCATTTCACATGCATGCTGTACAGCACAATTATCTCTGTTCTTCTGATATCAATGCACTGTTAAATGCCTTTTACTTGTTGGTATAAGCATCCAAAGTAGATTATGAAAGCAGTTTTTTTTAACAAAGCCGCTGGCTGCACTGTCTGACAAGACAAGTCTAGATACCAAGTTTACATATCTGTGATATTAATCCTGAGAGAGCAAGCATTTAAAAATCAAAAAAGATTTACAGGTAAACAAAATCTTATGTGAGTACTACAGAAACATAGTTTTTAATTATTAAGTTTTAATTTGCATAATATGGTTCTGTCATGTTTTTTGTCTTTTATAAATTGAACAAGCTCTTTTTTTCCCCAGCTGACTGTTCAAATATAATAAACCAACGTCATATGGGCACCATGAAATACCTCATGCATAAGAGATTTGTAGAGGTAGGTTTGTGGATTTATAATTTCTGAAATACTTTGGAATACTTAATGAATACTTAATGTTAAACATCAAACCAAAGTTTGCTAGAGAGTGGTAAGGATTTGTATTTCTGTCTGTGTCTCTATTGAAGAGATCTAACCTCATTATCTGTACGGGTGATCAATTGTCAGTAGTATGGGCAGAATCTTCCAATGGGCCTGCCTGATCCAGAAAAAGCTAGAAGGTGGAGATTGCTCTAAGTATGGGGAAAGCTACATTTACTGTTGTGTCTCTGGAGGGTTAGGAAGTGAGGGGAAATCTCCCTAGTCGAGACAAAACAACAATAAAAGCATAAAGGAAGATCTTACCTTTATTCTACCATTCTAAATAGAAGACACTTTGGCTGGAGAAACACTTTTATTGATTGTAAATCTTTATCAAATATAATAATAATAATAATAAAAAAACAAAATCCACTTTTCTACTGAAGAATTAAACAACCTAAGCCTCTATTTTCTGGAAACTCTATTGTGAGATGAGTTCCCGATTCTGTGCACATTGTGTCAATGTGAGAGGCTCCCACTCTCCTTGTTCGATTTTTAAAGGTATTTGTATGTTATAGAGAGTGTAACTATATTATCTGGAATACGCAAAATTTCCAGGTGGACAAGAACATGAGAGATAGTTCTATTGTAGCATCTAAGACATATAGGAACTTGGGTACTTTCACAGCCCACCAGACCTACTTATAACAAAAATACCACTTTTCTGTGGATTGTCCCTTTGATACAATGTTGTTGGATAAATTTAACCTGCAGATCAGTCCCATGCTATATAATAAATTATAGGAATGTCACCATTTACTTTCCATTCTAGTGATGTCATCAGTACCTAAAAAGGCTATCTTCTTGAAAACCAGAAAATGAGACAGCAGTAAGAGCGCCAAACCAAACAGTGGAAAAGGCTGTTGAATTGACACTCTTACTGCTGTTTTTTTTTTATTCTTATTTGTATTTTGGGTTACCCATATAAGAGGTACCTTGTTTCACGAGAGCAGTCTCACCAAAGTCAGTGGTCTCTATAGATCATGATGTACTTTCTACAATACTGAAGTAATGAGAACTGAAGTCTCAGCATCTCTTGGATATGCCCTTTGGTTCATGAGAATGCCTGCCTTCCCTGTGCCCTGGTGATCTGTGACGTTACTTTAATTCAAACATGGTACAGCATTATATAAGCATTTATTGTGGTTTATTACCAAAAACATGGCTTCTAAAAAAGTCCAATTTTACTTTCCAGAAAACAATGACCGAGGAGAACTGGAGTGACCATGTCCAGGTAATTCTATCACCCCCCCATCTGTGAGGTAAACATCTTATCAGTGTCAGGCTGTGAGAACGCACAGAGGTCACTGGGGTTGTGTCTGTTTTGTTCTAACATCTGACACAGGGCCTTTAGTTCAGGCATTCCCGGACATTGGCCCTTCAGCTTTAGAGAGAACAGATATGTCAGAAAGCCCGACAGCTGTTGAATTAGTGGGAAATAGACTTATCATTGTGTCTCCAGTGAAAATTGCCTGTATTGCTGTTATATCAATATTATTTGTATTTAAAGGATTTGAGAGTTCTAATCTCTAAATAAAAGTGATATCACCATCTCCTGTATTTACATTATGCTGACATATTACACTTCTCTACAGAGTTCATAGGGCCATTCATATCAAAACCTGCTTGCCTCGGTAGCTTACAATCTAGGCATTCTATTGGACTAATAAATACTATAGGGGGTCATTTATAATGGATAGCAGATATCCCTATCCAAAGGGTTAATCCTTACCGTGGCCTGAATTTTGCAGCCCATTCATAAAGTGCAGGCTGCAGTGTCATGGAGTTCTCTTTGCTTAACGTAGTAGAGAGATATGCTGTGATTGGAGGTGGGCCAGTCACATGACTGTTCCTGTCACCTGACTCTCATCTTACTTTTTTTTTTTCCCCCCTCTTCTTCATTTTTATTGATCTCCACTGGCTTTGTAGTCTTGAAGCCAATATGTAACAATGTATATTTGTCAAACTCACTGCTGTGCTTTATAGACACACAGTGTTCTATTTTTTCTGTTTTAATGAGGCAGTATGGCTGAAGCAACATCATCAGAAAGCAGAAAGTTGAAACACTGCACACCGGAACCCAGCCACTATTTAGAGAGGTAATGGTACAGTTTCAGCTGAACTCCTCCTGGCTATGCACCTCTGATGTCATTTCAGTGATTTAAGCCCTGTAGGCAGGTTGAAATATGTCAGAGGAGCATAGCCAGGAGAAGTTGAGGCTGAAGCCATATCTTTACCTCTCTATATAGTGGCTGGTTTACAGTGTGTGGTATTTCCACCTTCTGTTTTCCGATCTGTTACTAGGCTGGATGAGCTTGTTTGAACTTCAGCACCCAAAATGTGCTTTCGGGGAAGTTTTGCAGTGCTTTGAGTGGCGCTCCAAGTTTTTTTGGATGTGGGTTGCAGCAACATCATACTACTGCTTTATGAATTCACCCCCAAGACTAATTGCAGGAAAAGCAGCCAGTTAAATTGACTTTCTTTTGCCTGTTTGGGCTAAATAGCAGTCTAAAGCAGAGAGAGAAAGGCATACATTTTATCTTCCATTTGCATGTCACTTAGTGGACTAATGTCCCTTAGCTCTTTGCAACCTGCGCCACAGTGTCGGGTCACAACATTTACCTTTTTAGGGGTCTGCTGGGGAGTATGAGAACAGTGTGTATTTACGGTCTCTTGTTCCAAATTGAACCTGAAAATGTGTTCTGCATCTGGAAAAAAGAACAAGTTTTCTTAAAACCAGTATTCATTAATAGGAAAACCAGAGTACCTAAGGGAGACTCCCACACTCAAGCATACTGCATGGTCACATGAAGGACCCTGAAGACAGGGTCCTTGAAAGCATTTGAATGCCTTGCACCATTTAGTTACTGTTCTCTCCACTGCTATATAAACAACAGTTTTGTTTTCAGGGAGTGACAGTGTTGTTCTCCAGGGATAAACCATTTTAAAATATCTGTAAAATTCACAGTTTGTATATTGTACATTCTCTTTTGTATGTAGGGATGAGGTAATAAAACTTAATCTGTAAAAAAGGATTTCTGTTGCTTGTTGAAAGCAGAGACATCCTTTATTTTCTCATTTTAGTGTGCCAAAAAATTTGAAAGTCGGTCACATGTCTTTTTTCCTGAATTGTCTGTACATCAGGCCATGTTGAGCTTGCATTGAATAACGTTAACAAGACAAGAGACTGTGGAGTGACTCGCATATCAATTCTGGTGCTTTTTATGCTGTTATAAATAGATGTATTGCTCAACATAAAATACTGATCCCCAGAGTCAAAACCCCAGGCCTTGCTGTCATGAAACACCTTGTAGTGTGTACTGTATGTGTTTGTGAGCTCGTGTGGGGAATAATTATTGATAATGGGGTGGCAGTTGATAGCGCAGCTTAATTTTCATCTCCTTTACAGGTAAGCCTAAAGGGAACCTGTAATCTACTTCTTTACTTTCAGATATGGATGTCTCCTTGGATTCCTTGATACTAACTTTAATACAACTAAAAATAATATTAAAAAAACAGCCAGTCTATAAATGAAGAGTAATATTACTTACCAGTCTCGCTGCTGGTGACTCTGGTCTTCACTGTCTTGCACAGCTACACCAGCCAAAGAATATTCTACATCCAGCATTATTATGTCTCTGTAGGATCTGATGGTTGGAACCAAACCATGTAGCAGGGAAAGTAGGTATCCAGCAAAGCCGAAATTTGCTTTTTTTTTTTTTTTGTGGTTTTTTTTTTTTTTAATTTAAATTATACAGTTTTATTAAGGGGTTTGGCACATTAACAATCAAACCGAGAAGTGATCATAAGCATAGAACTGTAACAGCCTTGATACAGTCAATGAAAGTCATTTTGGCAAAAATAAAAAAATTCTGCCAAAAAGTGTAAGTACCTGTAAGAATCCACGGTACAGCCGGACCTGCTAAATGCTGAAGAAACTTCAGCTGTTGATGATCCTCACGAGAGCAAAAATCTGAGTGACAGACAGCTGGACTTGTAAGCATTGTTGCTCTTCTATTAAAGACTGGTTGTTTTTTTGCATTTGTTTATATGGTTTTCCTGCCAAATGTTTATGTGATACATACACTTTTGCTAATCAGTAAGATCACTCTGCTACTTTCAGTTATAATAATACTGCTTTCTGAATCGGCTCACTAATAGACTGGAAGTTTCCCTCGTGGGAAGGTAGACAGCATTAAAACCTGGGGTTCTCATCCCCTCTTCCATCCAAAACATAGAAAAGCATTTCCTGGAGTTCTTCTTTAAATGCAAAATATTTGTTTGACTTGAAACTACCTTTTTTTTTTGCAGAGCATAGTTGTAGATAATGGCTGGCTCCAGGAGCAATGCCTTGCCCTGCTATTCCGCTATTGTGATAGGCAAACAGCTGGATGCTGGGCACTGACGTTTGGACTACCCAAGGAGAAGCTTCCTCGAGATTTAGCAGATCTTCTACAGGACTTTTGTATTCAGAAGTAAGTTACATGCCATCCACACCACTATATCAAAACCATGTTTTGCTAAATGTCAAACCAGCCAGTGTATAGTAATATATAATATAGGGGCGGTATAGAAACTAAGAATATCTCATTTTAAGTCTAGATTCTAATTTTACAATTTTGTTTCTTAAATTGTTATACAAATGCAGCCTTACTTCTCAGGAATACCCGTGTGTTCTGTTATCTACTTGTGTTCTCTCCCTGTCGTAGCAGAAGTGTCAGCCTAGTGGAGGCTTAGCTGTCTCCTGGCTGAACTCAAGTCTCCTAACTGACACACTGTGCGGAAATTTAAACAGTTACAACTCCAGTACTCTTAAGCTGGCCATACGTGCATCGAAATTCGTCCGGATCCTGTTGAGCTGTCCAAGATTAGATCCATGTATGGGCGGGCTGGTTGTACCCAAGTCGATCCATCGATTGACTTGGGTACACCCAGCCTGTTGGATTTTTCTACATGCAATTACTGCCAGAAGCTATAGCTGTTAGCAGTAATGATTGTGTTCTGCCCACTGGGAAGGCTCTTGTTCCTTCCACCGTTCCATTATAGAAGGAAAGAAAATGTAATCATCTATGGGGCTGCCATACCCTCTCTAGGAGTTCTCTTCCCCTTGAGATGCTTACAGCATGATAGTTTTATGAGTGTCTGCACTGTGCTCAGGCAAGAGGTAGAACAGCAGATCCCTTCTTCTCTGGTAGGAAGAGAATTTAAGTAAATAATCAAAATGACACAACCCCTGGGAGGAAAAATGTCTTTGTTGTAAAAGTGAAAAGTGGAGATTGGGATTACTACAAATGCCTATGGGTGACTGATTCTCTTTAAATTATTTTTGATTTTGTAAATGTTGATGCTACATACCTTATCCACTTGCCCTCCAGAGGGTTTACCCCCCTTCCTGACCAGGCCATTTTTTAAATACAACGCTGCGTTACTTTAACTGACAATTTTGCGGTCATGCAACGCAGTACATTAATTAAATTTGTCATTTTTTCCCCACAAATAGAGCTTTCATTCGATGGTATTTGATCACCTCTGCAGTTTTTTATTTTTTGTGCTATAAACAAAAAAAAAACAACTATATTTTTTTATTTTTTGCTATAAAACATATCCAATAAAAAAAATTAAAAATAAAATCAAATTTCTTCATAATTTAAGCTAAAATGTATTCTGCTACATGTCTTGGCTAAAAAAAAGTCCCAATACTTGTAAATTAATTGGTTTACGTGAAGGTTATAGCACCTACAAATGGTGGTGTATATATAATGGATTTTTTTTTATGCTAGTAGTGGTGGTGATTAGCGACTTATAGCGAGACTGCGGCGGGCATTCTGACACTGGTTGGGAACTGACTAACTGCCACTGACCAGTGACACTAATACAGTGATCTGTGCTAATAAAAAGCACTGACACTGTACTAATGACGCTGGGCAGGAAGGGGTTAACATCTGGCGCGATCAAAGGGTTAACTGTGTGCTGTGTGTGTTTTACTGTGTGCACTGTGTTGTCTTTTACTAGGGAGACATGCTGTTTTGTATCTCTCTGCTGTGCAAAGAGATACAAAACAGCAAGTCCATGCTGACAGGAGAGAGACCTGTGTTGTTCACACACAGGTTTCTCCCCTGTTAGCTTACCCTGAGGATAGGCTGGTGATTCCCGGGCAGGACCCGGTGATTGACATCTCTAGTCACCAATAGCGGAAATGCAAATCATGTACAGTCAGGTCCATAAATATTGGGACATCGACACAATTCTAACATTTTTGGCTCTCTACACCACCACAATGGATTTGAAATGATACAAACAAGATGTGCTTTAACTGCAGACTGTGAGCTTTAATTTGAAGGTATTTACATCCAAATCAGGTGAACGGTGTAGGAATTACAACAGTTTGCATATGTGCCTCCCACTTGTTAAGGGACCAAAAGTAATGGGACAGAATAATAATCATAAATCAAACTTTCACTTTTTAATACTTGGTTGCCAATCCTTTGCAGTCAATTACAGCCTGAAGTCTGGAACGCATAGACATCACCAGACGCTGGGTTTCATCCCTGGTGATGCTCTGCCAGGCCTCTACTGCAACTGTCTTCAGTTCCTGCTTGTTCTTGGGACATTTTCCCTTCAGTTTTGTCTTCAGCAAGTGAAATGCATGCTCAATCGGATTCAGGTCAGGTGATTGACTTGGCCATTGCATAACATTCTACTTCTTTACCTTAAAAAACTCTTTGGTTGCTTTTGCAGTATGCTTTGGGTCATTGTCCATCTGCACTGTGAAGTGACGTCCAATGAGTTGTGAAGCATTTGGCTGAATATGAGCAGATAATATTCCCGAAACACTTCACAATTCACCCTGCTGCTTTTGTCATCAGTCATATCATCAATAAATACAAGAGAACCAGTTCCATTGGCAGCCATACATGCCCACGCCATGACACTACCACCACCATGCTTCACTGATGAGGTGGTATGCTTAGGATCATGAGCAGTTCCTTTCCTTCTCCATACTCTTCTCTTCCCATCACTCTGGTACAAGTTGATCTTGGTCTCATCTGTCCATAGGATGTTGTTCCAGAACTGTGAAGGCTTACTTAGATGTCGTTTGGCAAACTCTAATCTGGCCTTCCTGTTTTTGAGGCTCACCAATGGTTTACATCTTGTGGTGAACCCTCTGTATTCACTCTGGTGAAGTCTTCTCTTGATTGTTGACTTTGACACACATGCACCTACCTCCTGGAGAGTGTTCTTGATCTGGCCAACTGTTGTGAAGGGTGTTTTCTTCACCAGGGAAAGAATTCTTCAGTCATCCACCACAGTTATTTTCCGTGGTCTTCCGGGTCTTTTGGTGTTGCTGAGCTCACCGGTGCTTTCCTTCTTTTTAAGAATGTTCCAAACAGTTGTTTTGGCCACGCCTAATGTTTTTGCTATCTCTCTGATGGGTTTGTTTTGTTTTTTCAGCTTAATGATGGCTTGCTTCACTGATAGTGACAGCTCTTTGGATCTCATCTTGGGAGTTGACAGCAACAGATTCCAGATGCAAATAGCACACTTGAAATGAACTCTGGACCTTTTATCTGCTGATTGTAATTGGGATAATGAGGGAATAACACACACCTGGCCATGGAACAGCTGAGAAGCCAATTGTCCCATTACTTTTGGTCCCTTAACAAGTTAGGGGCACATATGCAAACTGTTGTAATTCCTACACCGTTCACCGGATTTGGATGTAAATACCCTCAAATTAAAGCTGACAGTCTGCAGCTAAAGCACATCTTGTTCGTTTCATTTCAAATCCATTGTGGTGGTGTATAGAGCTAAAAATTTTAGAATTGTGTCAATGTCCCAATATTTATGGACCTGACTGTATATATGCATGATTGTGCGCAGCCCTGCCGCCCTCTAGCAGTACTTTTGCTATAGGGCAGAGGGAAAGTGGGCAATAACCATAATAATCGGATTGTTTAAGACAATAAAGTATAAGCTCCTTAGTCAGAGGGAATGGTATCAATTCTTCTATCTATGTCAGTGGTTCTTAACCTTTTTGGAGGTACTGAACCCCACCAGTTTCATATGCGCATTCACCGAACCCTTCTTAATTGGAAAAATAAAATATGATTTTTAAAATTCAAAACATAGGTATATGTTTATACATAGGTGCACAAAATGAACAAAACCATTAAGAACAAAGAACAAAACCATTAAAACATGATTTTCACACAAAAACAAAATAATGAATATTTACCGCAAATCAGTGTGACTTCTGCTGTTGTCTTTCAGAGGCCAGTTCAGAAATGCGCGGCATTTCCTTGGCAAGTGCCACTCTCATGTCATTTTTGCAACAAAGTCTGTTCCTTTTCTTCGTCTTTATGTCCAGCATCCTCGAAAAGGATTGCTCGCAAAGATATGTTGTAACAAACGGTATGAAAATTCATCCCCCATAGTAATTCATCCCCCATATAGTAATTCATCCCCCATAGTAATTCATCCCCCATATAGTAATTCATCCCCCATATAGTAATTCATCCCCCATATAGTAATTTCCCCCCATAGTAATTCATCCCCATATAGTAATTCATCCCCCATATAGTAATTCATCCCCCATATAGTAATTCATCCCCCATAGTAATTCATCCCCCATAGTAATTCATCCCCCATATAGTAATTCATCCCCCATAGTAATACATCCCCCATATAGTAATTCATCCCCCATATAGTAATTCATCCCCCATATAGTAATACATCCCCCATATAGTAATACATCCCCCATATAGTAATACATCCCCCATATAGTAATTCATCCCCCATATAATAATTCATCCCCCATATAGTAATTCATCCCCCATAGTAATACATCCTCCATATAGTAATTCATCCCCCATATAGTAATTCATCCCCCATATAGTAATACATCCCCCATATAGTAATACATCCCCCATATAGTAATTCATCCCCCATATAGTAATTCATCCCCATATAGTAATTCATCCCCCATATAGTAATACATCCCCCATATAGTAATTCATCCCCCATATAGTAATTCATCCACCATATAGTAATTCATCCCCCCTATAGTAATTCATTCCCCATATTAATTCATCCCCCATATTAAGTCCCCAAGTCCCCCCTGTGTCAATTCACTTACCTTTGCTCCGCGCGTTCCTCTCGCTGTATTCCCGCCCCGTTCCGGTCTTCAGGGCGGACTGTGAGAGGAGCCTAGCTCCTCTCACGTTCGTCACGCTGCCCCGCCTACACACATCCTGACAGCCAATCACTGGCTATCAGGATGTGAGTGGCAGAGAGACTGGCCAATCATTGCATTTGAGTCCCTGCCGCCCGAGAGGAGGGAGGGGAGCGGGCGCCCGGCACACAAGAGCCGCGGCTTGCCGACCACTGGGCATGTCATCACAAATCATATGAGTCGGGTGTGGGTCACCTCCGCCGAACCCCCGAGACTGACTCACCGAACCCCTGGGGTTCGATC